AATTTTGATTGAGGATGAATCTTGCAGCTATATTAATATTAATAAAAATTAAATGCTTTTGATTAGTCTAGATTGGTTTGTAAGGGCAAAACACAAAGACAAAACTGAGGCAGTGAGCCTCACAATGCCTCTACTGATTTCTCTACTGGCCCTTCCTCTGCACATGGTCAATTAGAATTGAAAATCCTGTGCTGATTTCATTCGCTGGAATTTTTAAGCAGGTCAGGAAGAAAGATGTTATTGAAAGGAAAAGTCTCATCTAAATAAGAAAGGAGCACGTGGCCATCTGGTCTTAGCTATACATATAAAAAGTTATTTCAGCTGAACTGCAGGCTTAATGTTTAAAAAGATGTGCCAGAAATCAAACCAAAATCTGTTTACGGTAAAATATCCCAAATGTTTCTTTTTAAACTTTCAAATATGCAATACACAGTTCATTTCCTATCTGTGATTCATGAGCCCATTTGACCCCAGTGCCTCACTGAGCTTGACTGAGTTTCACTCAGTAGAATATTCAATCATTTTTAGAACACTTTTCCTTCATAGAGTGTCAACAAGACAGTGGATCTTTTGAAAGTTGAGAAAATAACTTTGATAGTTTTCACTCAAATTAATTTTGAGTATTATCTTCATGTAGGATTGCAAGAATAAAATTTGAAACATAAAGCAGACAAACCAGTTTCCCTTGTTTTCTCATCGCAACTTGAGGTTCCTGTGCATTCTCTGCACAGTGCTCAGGTATCTACTCACAATAATTTCAGGCCCTATGCCTAAAGGCTAAGTTAAAAAAAAATTCTCTTTTCATGAAGAGAAATTATAACTGTTGAGTCTTCTTTTACAAATCATTTTCACGGTAGTAAGAAACAGAGATGGTTTTAAAAATCACATTTTACACTGTTTGTCAAATTAGAGTCATATCTTTTGATACTCTTTTTTGACATGAGGTATTTGTGGTAATTATAACATCAATACAGTAATTCATCCAATATCTGATAATGCTCTTCTGGTGGTATAGACATAGCTAATTGATGTCGCAATCTGAATTTTATTGTATTGAAATACATTAGCAGTCTTCAAGAACTCTTATAATAAAGTGACAACAATTATTTGGGGTCAGAAGACTATATTCAAATACATTATATATATGTATACTAAATATGCTACATGCATGTAAGAGACATATGTGATTTTAATACCAACACATGCTAAACAAGGATGTAGATTTAAGCTAAGTCTTCAAATAAGTAATTGGATTAAGGATATTCTAATATATGAAACAAAAGACTCTTGACATATCCTTGACATAAAATACCCATTGGTTGTTTTTGTATATCCACTATGTTTGTTCTGCCATTTCAAATAAATCATTGCCATTGTGTAAGAAGAATAAACTGTACTATAGTAAATTGTTCTTTCTCCGTTATGCTCTGAAAAACCATTTGTTCTTGAATTGGCGTTACGTAGTTCAACTATTTCAATCAAGTCCATTATCTTCTTGTCTTTGAAAGATGCCTTTTCAGTAACCTGTATCCCCAATGGGCAATGCCATGTATTGTTTTTTGAAAGTAGGTAAAATTTAAACACAACTATTTGCTCATTTTAATCTTTGATAAAGAAATTATATAATTAATCATCAATCTTCCACTATATGTTGGAAGAACTGTTTATGTAAAATTATAGATTCAGGCCAAGAATTTCTTAAAGAAGTTATTTATTAGTTCTTAGTGGAGTCTTACCCCATAGAATGTCATCTAACTTGTGTAGCTTGTTTTCTCTAAGTACAAAATGTGTCAACTCTTTAGCTATATACTTTTCTTAACAATAGTAACATGAAAGCAGCAAAAGAACAAACATTTTTTCATTTGTTTTAAAACAATCACACAATACATTGGCAAAATGAATCTTATTAATTTGTTGACATATACGTAGTGCTGTTTATACATATATGCTTTGAAAATCCTTTCAGATTAATCGCTTTTTAGTATGCAAGAACGAAGAAGTATTAAGAGCAAATTCCAAAATTTTAAAAATTATGTATCAGATACGTGGTATTATGTAAAAACTGGTAAGTATCGCAGTCATTCTATTCTAATGAATATTAATTTAAATTACATATCAAAACTTGGTAGTTAAGGGGTAGTATGTATACAGAGTTGTTCTATATCTACATCTCAAATCTGGCAATATGTTTTGGTAAAAGTTTTAAACTTTATTTGCGTGAAATAAAATAATGTACTTAAATCTGTGCATTAATAAAAATCTGTGCACATGTTTGGTGACTAACTATCCAGTGTAAGGCCCATAAAACAGACTTGAAAATAAATAAATACAAACACTGTACTAGCTCACCCAAAAGTTAATTCAACTATTATCTAATTCAGAGATATACCCTTATTAAAGCACACGAGAGAGCATTACTTCTAAATCATTGGTATAAAATTATTCTCTCCTTAAGAAATAAGTTAAAAGTAAAAAGGATTTAATTGTTACAAAATGTTAAGTGGCAAATTAAAAACACCAAGTCATAATAAATTGCAATATTGTAGCATTGTTATCCAACTGGATTTCAAAATGCTCACCATTTCTACATCCTATTTATATCATCGAAATTCAGCCGCCTTTCAAATGTTCAAACAGCATATTAATAAGGCTTCCTAGAACCAGGAAACTCTGACTACATATATCTTGATAAACATACCCATCCTGCCCCATAAACACATCTTCAAAAGAAAGATAGCTGCAAATAAAATAGTCCTTTCCTGTGGGTGTCGGTTAACCCCACGAGCACGTGAACTTCCTATGGGCACACACCCAACATACATTAGCGATTAGGTGATTGAAAATGTTGCCCACAAAGGCAAAATTTTATATATGATGACATCACCAGCTAACCTGGATTTCTCTGTGATACAATGATATAATTTCCTGATTGAGTGTGTGTATCTTGAGATAGAGAGAGAAAGAGAAAAGAGAGCGTGTATGTATGTGTGTGTGTGTGTGTGTGAGAGAGAGAGAGAGAGAGAGAGAGATGCTTAGAGAACAGCATCATCAGAAATGGTATGTAACCTTCTGCAAGGTTTGCAAGAATCTTTCGACAGACCTTTGACTTGTTCCAGATTTCATGCAGCGTAAGTTCATTCAAAAATGCATTCCCCACACAAACAAATTACGTTATGTTTAGTTAGCACACTATTAGTCCTAAAATATTCTGATAGGATCTGTTGAGATGTGATTTCTACACCAAAGGAGGCATGTGCATCTGTATGATATGGTGTGGGAGTTGCAAAGTCCCTTGAGACCTGCCTTTGAATGGGTAAGACGTCTTGGTTTCAAAGGTAATGAAAGGGTTAAAAATTGAGGCTGTCTAGGGTAAGAGAAAGGGGATATTGTTGTCTTTAATCTTTCCGCAGTATGTGTAAGACTTCCATCCCGGATCTGCACATAGCAGTGGAATAGGCTCGGCATGCATTGCGTGCAAGCTCCTTGATTGTAGAAGGGGAAAAAAATCTGGCTGGAGTCCAGACAGGCTGGAGCTCTGTTGATCATTATGTCTAGCCTTCAGGTGTCTCAGCACACAGTGGGCGGCGGTGGGGGAGGTGTAGATAACATGAGAGCAGACAAAGAAAAAAAATGGTGTATTTTTATAAGATTATGTGAAAATTTGTATTTATTTTCAAGTCCTCCTTAAGAAAATGAATCCTAACGTCTTGGACTTTTATAATTAGAACACAGGCTCTGCTCTGGCAGCTCTCTTTAAGCCATAATTAGTTATGTCTGGAGCCTTTGAATAATTCTTTTCAATAATTGATGGAGTTAATATTCTCTTTTAAAAATGAGGAGGACAATGTTTTTCACAAACTCTTTTTGTTGGAGGCTTTGTCATTCAAAATCTCCATCAGTCATAATCACACTGGTGTGATTTGCCTTTTAATTTCTTGTAAGACTTAGCTTATAACTTTTTAAGGATGTGGATAATTCTAGAAGTAAAGGCATAATGCATTGCTAGATTACTCTAGCTGAATATAAAAAGAAAGCAGTAATACAGCAACATTCTATCCATTTGTTTCCAATTATTTTATAAATTTTAAAACTGCATTGTATGTTGCTTCTGTTTGAAACTCCATCAAAAAACCTTATTATGAATGTAAGGAACTTAGATGCTAATCATATCTTTTGCTCGCTAGCAAGAAGAAATGCCAAATTATTTTATTCTTCAAGCATTCTTCTATAAAGAAGCTTCCGCATGCTTCCTCCCCAACCCCACATCCTCACTCCACCCTATTAGGAATTTCAAAAAAAAAAAAAAAATCTTTATACATGGAAGGCTGGATCCTAAGACAGAAAGCTGTCTTTTCCTTCTCTCTTTACACTGGCCACTTTCAGTCGCCTTCACTTCTGCCGAGACTTTATTTCACATTGTGTGGACTACAACACCGAAACCAGTTCAGTTTCTATCCTTATTATAAAATTAAAAGTGGTAGTTAAAAAAACATATAAAGAAAGCCCTGGCTTGAAGCCATTGTTCAGAATTTAAGAGCTATTTGCCCCCAAGTGTCTTTGCAGTCTTTCATAGCTAATTATAATAACTGTCAGATGTGTGGAAAGTCTATGGTGCCCTTGTCAGTGGAGTCAGCAAAGTTTGCCTTTTATTTTTCTTGGGGACAGAGCAAATCTGATTAGACATAAAGAGCAAAAAGAAGTGAACTAAGTACATATGCGTGTGCCTTCATTTTTTCTTATGAACAAAGCAGCACACTAGAGCGATGTTCCGACGCACAGCCTCCTACAGCTACTCTTTGGAACGCCTGACTTTTATTTTTAATTCTTTATCCTTCACAGAATAAAGTATGCAACAATTGTCCCTGGAATATTTTCCTGCCAGCTGAATACCCTTCAGTATACACATAAAAGAGTTCCCTTAAGAAATCTTCGAATATTGGATGTTTATGACATAAAACTATTTTAATCAGTTCACTTGACGGAAAGGAAGGTATACTTACAATTTCAAAACGGTTATTTGCTCTAGTTTCTTGTCCCCGGAGGCAGAGCAGAGGCTTTTGCCAGACTGTCCATGATGCAGGTGCAGAATCCCTGTTTTCATGCCGGAGAGGAAGGTAGAAAGTGCTTCATAAAGTCACTCGGAACTCAGCCACTTGTGCTCAGACATCCCTTGCTCCTGTGGAAGCTGTACTATCTGCAGTTCTGAATTGAACTAAATTACAGCCCATGTGAAAGACAGGAGCAGTGAGTCATGTGAGAGATACAGAGCTATCCTATTGGCCACGAAGACATAGCTTAGGCATTCTGCCTTTTCCACCATTGGTGAATAGTTAAAACTGAAAGCATCTATATCCTCCTCTTGAGCTTATTTGTCCTTTATGTGTGGAAGAATGACTGTAGGATTTTACAGTGACAGAATTAGTTAAGAAAGGGACTGAAGTCATCCTTCACAGAGACTGGTGGGAGGTGATTGGAAGCTCAGCTTTTTTAAGATTTCTTTTTTCTTTTTATCACCCTGCCCTGCAGTTTTGTCCAAAATTTGCCTGTTTGCCTGTCAGAAAAATGTTTTTTGTGTGTTTCTCTCCCTTCAGTTAACTTTGGAAGTGACAGAAAGTAAATTATCATCATATTCCTTTGCAGAACTGTCATGTTTTGAAGCACAAAATCAATTATTTTCCGTGATGGATTTTCAAATTTTATTTTTATCTTTACAGAGACTTTATTGCAGTTCTAAACTAACAAACTAAATTGTTCACTAGTGACACCAAACACGGAATTAACTTTTGAGTATTTCATTTTGGAGAAAGGAGGGGTAGAAATAACTGGAAAATAATAAAAGGCAACAATATCAAAACAAATCAAATAAGGGGCTTTAACTAAGCAGGGATGAAGAAGAAATACATTTCTCCATCAAAGTCACTCTTTAATTTACCACTTTAGGTAAGGCAGAATGTCCAGAAAACTGCCAGGCAGAAGGTATTTTTTAGTTATGCTAGGATTCTTTAATTCATCTAATTCCTTAAAAATCCTTAAATGTGTCTGTAAAGATTTAGAGGCTGTAAACTACTTTAGAAGTCATCAAATCTCACATTCCCTATGTTAAAGGTGAGGAAGGTAGCCTCTGACAGTAGTGACTCTCTTCATCACACTGATCCACCAAGTTATGCAAAATAAATGAAGGAAACATTGAAATAAATACTAGTTTCCTCTGTCTTACGTACCTACCAAGAGCCAGTTACCTTCTCATGTAATTCAATAATTGTACAACCCACAGAATAAGTTTGGCTACTTTCATTTCTCCTCGGCAAAAACAGACTCAAATGTTTTACTACCATGATAGTGCCTGGATTTGAACCCAAGTGGCTGATTCCATGCCTACTTTTTCCTACTAGGTATGTGTCCTTCCAAAATAACGATGGTTCTCATGCATAGTTCCTTCCTCCTGTACGGTAAGTAATGTGCAAAACCCTTTAGAGCACCTCATTCCATTCTCACAACTGTTAATGAGTCACTTATTCTATTATGCCCATTTCATTGATGAGGAAATGAGGTGTGTACTACTCAGTATTATGTAGGTGGTAGCTGGTAACTCGTGATTCAAACCAATTCTTATCTGTTTTACACACCATATGGATTCTCATCACAGTGTTAAATAAGGCTTGATTTTTCTTTTTTTTTTTTTTCTGGCCTAACACATTAGAATATTTTGGCATAAATATGGAATATTAACTGTAGTCATGTCATTGTCTGGTTCTGTTTGGTTCAGACCCAGATCATACCATTTAGTGACCCATATGGGACTGGAAATAGGCATCAGAGGAGCAGTCATGGAACCATATTTATCTTGGGGCTCTACAAGCAGCCTCACACAGGGTCTTGCAATCATAGGAGCTTCCGTATCAGTTGACGGGGCACATGCTCTCAGAACATCAGCCTGGGTCTTAAGGAGTCCTGCTGCTGGTTCAAAATCTGAAACCCACTGTTCAGCAGAATAGGCACCTGATCCTTTCAAAAATGGTGTCAAAAATTCCACTTCAGCCAGGTATCAAGATCCACCAACGAGTTTCCTGAGTTGTACCCCTCCTGCAGCAGCTGTAATCATACAAATGGGAAATTTGCATTGGCTCCCGCAACCCTCGTGCGGTTTGTTTGTAGACAGGAGGTGATTACTGAAGTGCAACTGCATCTTCACCTGCACTTTCTAAAGCACACATTGCTGTCACTTAGAGTATCATATAGGACAGGTTAGGCAGGTCCCAGATAGCATCGGAAGAGAGTTTTTAGTCATCTTCTGTTCGGAATACTTTTGTTTCTTTCCATAAGTGGTGCTTGCTTTCCTAAACAATCCACAATCCAATCACCTACCTCATGCTGTCCGGAACCCTTCCAGGTCAGCCCTCTCATATAGTGAGCATGTGATAACATTATGTTATCCCTATCTTCATCAAATAAGCTTCTCTATTATAGTGCAAATATTTCAAAGACTGAGCTGTATCTTGTTATATTTTAATCCTGCATAATAATCATCACAGTAGAGATGAGATAAATATTTGATTTTTTTTTTTTTTTTTTTTTTTTTTTTTTTTTTTTTTTTTTTTTTTTTTGCCTTCAGTGACCTATTCACTGGTACACAACAGATCAGAAATAAACCTGGTGAGATAATGCCAACATACTTTTTAAAAACTCAGCACTTTAAAATATAGTCTAAAACAGTGAATCAGACACTAGAGAACAAGTAGGAAATTATTGTGAGACCACAGACTCTCCCTAATATAGGTCTAAATCGCTCACATACAACACTTATACTAACTAAACTAATGGTCATGGTATTAGCACGCACTTACCTCAGACTCTCTGCTGTCATCTACCAACTTCTTCTTTGTTCCTCTCATTCACTGTTTTTCAGATTTCCTTTTTGTCTCTAGCCCTGCTTTAGTTCAGTGTTCACAAAGGCAATCTATTCAACACTAATATCTCAGTTCAGCAACTTCCTCAATTTCGATGAGGTTCACCGCCACTCCCCATGACAATCACCCGTGCTCATGTGTTAAAGCCTGGAAACTTTTACTTTAAAATTGTGAAATCAAACCACCTGCTTTTTTTTTTTTTTTTTTTTTTTTTTTTTTTGAGATGGAGTTTGGCTCTTGTTGCCCAGGCTGAGGTGCAATGGTACAATCTTGGCTCACCTCAAACTCTGCCTCCCAGGTTCAAGCAATTCTCCTGCCTCTGCCTCCCAAGTAGCTGGGATTACAGGCATGTGCCACCACACCCGGCTAATTTTGTATTTTCAGTAGAGATGGGGTTTCTCCATATTGGTCAGGCTGGTCTCGAACTCCCGACCTTAGATGATCCACCTGCCTCGGCCTCCCAAAGTGCTGGGATTACAGGTATGAGCCTCCATGCCTAGCCCAAACCACCTACTTTCTAACCACCAACTTCAATGTTTCCAACTCTTTATCACTACGCTTTGTTTTTCAGCTTCTCTGATACCTTCAATCCTTTGGTTTCTATGTTTTCTCCTTATCTATAACCCCTTTCATTCCTTTTCTTCCCTTTCCTTTCATACTTCATTCTCTCTTAGAGTTCATGATTCATGATTTCATACAGTGTCTGGACAATATCGTGAACTTTCTTGCCCTGTTTTTCTTCTGATGGCCACCTCCTCCCAAGAAAATTGGATTTTGAATCAATCCAACTGTTAAACTTTTCTAAGCTATTCTGGGCTTTCTAAGAGTTGCTGGAGAAAAGTCTCTTAAGCCTAGAAAGGATGTTACTATAAGCCAGTAGTGTCCAGATTTGACCAGTTACTCAATGCTGTATTAAAAATCTATGTTTCCCCAATCAGCTCTTTTTATCATTTTCCACAATGCTATCCAATCTTTTCTCCACCATCTCTACCCTGCATTCTCACCAGATTGTGTTGCCTTCTCATTCTCAGGAGAACCAATGCACTTGCCAATATGTAGATTCACCTTTTTCTTATTTATTCTCATCACAATGGAAAAGTTGTTTTTCAACGTTTTCAAGGCAGATCACTCACTGTGTACATGGATATCAACCTCTTCTACTTATTTGGACATTTTTTCTTAGATGTTTTTATCTTTCTCAAATTGTCAACAGATCCCTGCCTACTAAACTCATTGATATTAACATTTTTAAAATGCTGTTTGTTTCTTTAATATTTAAAAATTTCCTCCATAGATACCTGGTCCCACTTCCTGTCTTCTACCCTTCCTTGGTAAATCTCTTCAAAGATTTTGTGATATTCACTATTGCTGCTTTATTTCCTTTTGTTTCTCTACCTAATCAATCTGGCTTCTGTCCTCATCATACTGATTTTTGACAAACACCTCTGTGCTACTAAAACCCATGAACAATTTTCAGTCTTTGGCTTCTCTAAAATGTTTGTGAACATTTGAGTTGGGACATATATACACTATGGAATACTATGCAGCTATAAAAAAGGATGAGTTCATCTCCTTTGTAGGGGTAGGGATGAAGCTGGAAACCGTCATTCTGAGCAAACTATCATAAACAGAAAACCAAACATTGCATGTTCTCACTCATAGGTGGGAACTGAACAATGAAAACACTTGGACACAGGGCAGGGAATATCAACACCAGGGTCTGGGTTGCAGGGTGGGGGAATTGGAGAGGGATAGCATTAGGAGGAATACCTAATGTAAATGATGAGTTAACAGGTGCAGCAAACCAACATGGCACATGTATACCTATGTAACAAACCTGCACGTTGTGCACATGTACCCTAGAACTTAAAGTATATTTAAAAAAAAAAAAAAGTTTGTGCAGTTGAACACTCTGTTTCTTAAGGTGTTCTCCTCCTTCAGCCTCATGTGTTCCAGCTTTTGTCCCATCTTCCTTATGTTTCCTGTGTTTCCTCCTCTTGTCTCTTGAATATTTGTATTTTTCAGAATCTCCCTTAGGCCATATTCTCTTCTCACTCCACAAGACTCTCTTTGAGTCATGTCATTCACCTAATAGTTTCATTTGCAACTCTGTACTAATGATTTCCACAGTTCTATCTGCAGAGCAGACCTTTCTCTTGAGCACCAGAGCTGTAGATCCCACTGCACCTTCCCTTGGATGGCTCACTGATATCTCAAAGCCAATACATCCAACACAGAAGTCATCATCTCATCTTAAAGTTGTGTAACTTTTATTGTTTCTTATCTCAGCGAATAGTACCACTATTCACCAGAGGCCAAAGACAGAAAACTTGAGGCTAATATTTATCTCTTCCTTTCCTTTATATAGGCTTTCATATCCAACTAATCAGCATGCACCATAGATCTCTTGAATCTGTTCACTTTGCTGCATCTCATTCGTAGTAGGCCTTCTTCAGTATGCATAATAGTTAACATTAGGTGTCCCTTTTGTCTCCAGTCTTGCTTAACTCCACTTCAGCATCCTTGTGACTGTAACAATCTCTTCTCAAACTTGCAGCTGAATGGATCTTTTGAAAAGGCAACATGATTCTTTCACTCCTCAGCTTAATAGTTTTTAGTGGTCCCCATTACTTCTAAGGCAAACTGTGAATGTCCCTGAGGAGCCTGCTTTTGTAAGCTCCAGGGTTTTATAAAATAAATGCATGGAAATGTTTAATTTATGAATAATATTATTATTTACTTAGTTAAGTCTCTTAAACTTGCCCTCAAAGCTTTTAAAATCTTCAAGTGAAACTGAGGCATCAGCAGAGGACATTTGTCCAGTGGAATGAAGAACTCCCAAGGAACTAACATTCTAGTCTTAGAATATGAAGACAGTAGATTCAATATCTTTCTTCTTCAAGAGGATTGAAAGCCCACTCACAGCAACAGAGAGACCTGTTTTCTCCCCCATCAGACAAATCTTTCGTCTTTAAACTCTAGAGGAGTTCTAGGAAATCTTATATATTTTTACATTGCTTCTTTCCTTTCCAGGGGTCTGTGAAAGTGAGGGCATCCCAAACAAACAATGCAATAATAGAAATTACAAGGTGGGTTAGGTCAGATGGCTTTCTAATTTTCTTGAGTTTCCCTCTTTTCTTTCACCACTGTTCATTTTTCATTTTTTCCTAATTCTGTTAATAGCAGCCCAACAATTGGTCAGTCTGAAACCTACCTATCTTTTTTAATTCCCTTCTTTCTCCTCTGCATGCCCACAGATAGGTGAATATTGTGGGGCTCACCTTTAAAAGAGATTTGACATGCAATTATCTCTCACCATGTCTTTCGTTGCTGTGTGCACTGAAACCTCTATTATCTCCCACATGCATTACTGCAATCATCTTCATCTAGTCTCTTCTTCTACACGTGCACTCACTCCCACCACAATATGTTCTCCAACAGCAGCTAGCTTTTAAAACATAAAATATATTATGTTCTTTTCTTGCTTAGAATTCTCCAGTTGCTTCCCACTACATCTGCATTAATCACCTGATTCATTGCTGTGACCTGTAAGACACAACATCATCCTGTCATAATCCATACCTCACACTCTGATCTCATCTTGTGCCCACCCCCTCTCATTGCACTGCAATCACACTGGCCTTACTGTTTCAGACGTTCTACAAGCTGTTTGATTAGCTGTTCTCTCTGCTGTCAATGTCCTTCCCCTTGATCTTCATCTGCTGGCTCCTCCTCATCATCTGTATTTCTATTCAAATGTCACCATTCAGAGAAATGTCTTTTTTTTTTTTTTGGAATGATACCTACCCATCTACCTATCTAACTTATTCTCTTGTTTTGTTTTGCTTGTTTTTTCATAGCAATTATTATCATAAAATGTCTCAGTAGTTCATTTACTTGTCTACTATCTCTCTTTCCCCATCTGAATATGAGTCTTACGAGAGAATGCTGGTCATCATTATTTTTTTCTTAAGTGCTTGGAACTTTCCATTACATATAATAGGCATTCAGATCTTTGTTAAATGAATGAATGAATGCCTCAATAATTAAAAAATTATAAGATAAGTCAAGTAGTGTACTTGAGGGGAAAAATCACCTGTCACAATAAAAATTATTAATCTAGTTCTATATGTTAAAAAATAAAGAACCACTATTGCATTTTCACTGAAGGCTAAAACCCAATATACAAGTTAACCAAAAATGTATTGATGTTGAATATTCAGAGGACTATCTAACAATCTAATTTTGATTAACTTTTTGTTGCTTGTGGTAAAACAATTGAGCTCAAGAATTCTAAATACACTTTATAATGGCCATGAAGTATATTCAGTTATAAAGAAATTGATTGAGCAAATGAAATTGGATAAAGTACTCAAAATGTAGTAGTAATGAAAATAAAAATAATACCAACAATTTAATTTATGAGTATGTTTCCCTCACTCTTTCAAAATTGTATCTATGTGCTCTTTAATAATTGTTCAAGACCAAATAGAGTGAAGAAAAGTGTATCTATGTTGTTGCCCTGTAAAAATATTTCTTTCTACATTAAAATGGTCAATTTCTATGTTCAACTTTCTGAAGAAAAATCTATTGAAAAATGAATGTTATTGATGGCAGAATTGGACATCCTAAACTACATGTTATTAAATAA